ATAAATCGAAGTGTATATTTGGCTATATAAAATAAGTTAGACCAAATTTTGCTTTCATTTTTTTCCCTTAAGAGTTATGCAAAAACTAACCACATGATGGAGCTATGCTACCAAACCATTTGATGTGAACTTTTCTGCCATTTAAGTGCAAAAAGGAAAACAGTTTTACTGACTAACAGGGTATAGGTAAAATACAAACATCCGATGGGATCAGTTGAGAGCACAGCCTATTTATTTATGGGTTCTGGTGAAGAATAAGGTATTTCATCTCTTTTTTGTTTAAAGAAAATAAAATAATTCTGCTTTGAATTCAAGGTGATGACAGTTACGTTTATTTGAAGTAATGTTGCCAGGTAACATCAAAATAGTAAAGAGTTTCTTAATTCCAAGAAAGCTTCACTTACTTAAAAATAGAGGATGTAACTTAATCTTTCTTTATTTTAAGAAAATGCTATTCTTCCTTATTAGTTCACAATATATATTTTTATAGAAACAGTACAGGATTGTATAAAAAATTATGCAAGATAATAAAATTGTCCTTTTGCATAATTTAAATGCTCCCCTCACCATTTTATTTACTTTATTTCTTAATCAGTACCAAGAAAACCATAGTACTTCTATAAATATATTCGTATTTTCTGTATTTCAATGTTTTTTTATTGAGGAACATACAATAAAATGCACAAATCATGAATTTTGAGATGTTTATACACTTTTTTTAACCATTACCTTGACCTAGATACTAAACTTTCTTACCAAATTTTTTTCCCTTCACCTATTTCACCCATCTGTCTATCCCCTTACTCTATGTGAACCACATTCTGTGTTTATGAGACTATTTCAGTTTTGTTTACCTTGTATGATTTCTAAGTCTTGTAACTTTCTATTTATATTTATATCCAATAAGCTAGTAAGTATATAATAAGCTCATACTTATTCTCATTCAGTAGAAAAAAAACCCTACTAACTAAAAATATATTTCATTCCACTTTCCTGTAAGAATGATATTGCTTAATTTAAAATACCTTACTCTATCATTTTAAATATAGCCCATCTCTTAATTTTTAGATGGAATGAAAAAAATTTTAAGTTTTTTATTCTGATTTTCTTATTGTTTTTATTGTTATAATACTTAACATAATGTAAGACACATTTGTTTATAGTTTGCTCAATGCAATGACATACATGTAGACTAAGAGCAGTTTTTTAAAAACAGCATTTTTAAACAAGACAACATTTTATTTATAACATTTCATAATGTTATTCTGAATAGAAAGTGACACAGTGAAACGGCATTCTGTCACTGTGCTCATAAACTGAATCTAAGTTGAGGTTAAAAAGGACCAACTAAATACAAATGCCTTTTTCTCGTTCTTCTCAGCTCATAATAACCTGACAGTCATTTTTATCTGCTTAGACCCTCACTCCATAGACAAAGAAGAGAGAGGGGAAAATAGTAAAGGGAGAGAAAATAAATATTTTGGACATGAACCTAGAATGAGATATGTGTTTACACATTTTAATTTATTTTTAAGTAAGCTAGGGAAAGAAAAAACTCTTTCAAAACAAAGTCAATCATACTCTAATGTTAGCCAAGCAACTAAAATAAGTTTAGAGAAGAGCTATATATTCAAATATAGAGTATGTATTTTTGGACTTTCTAAATTCAGTTAGTATACTTTACAGCATAATTCCTATATGAATTCGATTTTACATCAAAACTCTTTTTGCCATTTTATATTGAGATATGGAAGGAAATTTTTCAAAAACCATTTAAAGACCATCATGGAACTGAAACACTGCTATTGAGGTTTGTATACGTATCTGTTAATATACATCTAGTTCTTCTAGAACTCCCAATGGTAAGTGCAAGATAAACTTTTCTGAGAGCTTAATATATGTACTGATCGTTCTATAAATCAGTCCTCACACACACTTCTGAAGAACTGTAGTTGTTAATTTTGAGTTTTTCATGGGCTTTATTTTACTGAATATTTTCTCATTTTACTTGCATGAAGTCATCATACTGCCATGTTTAACCAAGTCATATGACTATATGTCTGTATGTGTACCCACATGCACACAATATACCAGGTATAGCAGGTAGGTAGGCAAACAGATAGATTATAGGTGATTTTAAAATTTTGTTGCAAATATGTCCTCCTGAGTTATTGTCTATTTTTTATCTTTTTTCTTCTGAGTTATTGTTATTTACTTATTTATTTTTAAGATTATAAAGATCTACTCTGCAGGCTGCAATTTTCTTTTGCAGCAGAAACAATAGGTTGCTAGTCAAGGATTGCCTCTGGGGCTCCTCATATAGAAATTTTAAAAAATCACAACATAGAAAACAAATGTATTCAAATGCTTGGTGCCATTTACCAGATGATCAAAATACTTACAAAAACTCTATTTTGGTTGTTCCTTTAAAATCTAGGGCAGAATCTCACCATTTCTCACAACCCCCATTGCTATAAATATCAAGGTCCCTGTCTCCTCATCAGTTTCCTGGATTATTTCTGTAACTTCTTAACTGATCTGTTTTTATCCTCACTTCCTAGTCATTATTCTTCTCACAACAGCCAGAGTATCCTGGCTTTACAAGGGTGAAGGTAATTCAAACATGAAGTCGGTGGGAGCTTCCCTAAAATGATCTAATTCAGGCCCTTGGACCGGCTTTCAAGGTTATCCATGATGTGTCCTTCCTTGGCATCTTTGACCTCATCTCTGGTTACAGGCCCCTTAATCACTGCACTTAGTCCCACTGCCCTCCTTCCTTGCCCCGTAAGGCTCCCTGCTCAGAGTTTTGGAATTTCTCCTTGATCCTTCTGGAACACGCATCACTCAGATACCACTCTTGCTACCTTCAGGTCTCTGCTGAAATTTCAACCTAACAGAGAAGCCTTTTCTGATCACCTCACTAGAAGGGGCCACCACTCTCCACATTACTTGCAATGCCTATCCCCTGTCTTATGCTTTCCAAGCTGAATTTCTCAACGCCAGCAGTGCCTGAATTAGTTTATCATCTGACTTCCCAAAGGAATGGAAGCTGCCTGATTACCCAGAATGTGTCTATTTTGTTTACTGCTTTGTCTGCAGACTCAAGAGCAGGGTCTGGGATTTAGCAACCACCATCAATATCTGTTGAATGAAGGAGTGAATGTTAGTTATGGACTGAGCTTTGCTTAGATAACAAGTTTTATACCAGCAAAGTGGACAATTATTTATCCACTGCAAAAGGAAAAATCTTTCATATGCTAAAAGGCAAAAGATCTGCTCTTACTACTTTAATAATGATGTTTATAATAATCAGTTACACAAAAACTGAATTGTTACCTTAAAAAATCATTCATTTTGATATAATATACCACCACCTTTTCAATTATGTCAAAAAATAAAAAAGACTGTCACACATTTTCCCAAATTGACACTTAGACATTGATTATTTACTGGTACTGATAGTAATGTGTGTAAAAAGAAATTTAAATATAAAGCCTTACCTGTAAATGCAAAATACATAGTAACTATATAAGTATACATAAATATATACATATATATAGTATATACGATATAGACTACTATAGGTCCATTTTACTTTGGATATTAACTTCATACTTAAATTTTATGAACAGTTGTGTAAAATATTTTCTCTTATTTTTTGTATTCCTAAGAGAATTTATATTTGTTCCATACAAATTTATATCTATCATTTTCATTTTGGAGATCTTTCTAAAAAAAAGTGATAAGATTTTTCACTGACTTGTTACTGAATAGAAAGGAGAAAAGCAAATGAACAACAAACAATAGAGGAATAAAGTTGGTAGCAATTTGACACAAATATTTAAATGTACTTTGAAAGTCAATGTGAATGCCTACTTTTGCTGAATGAGATCACATAGTTAATTTGTAGAAAAGGCACAATTTATTTTCAATAGCAGAAATTTAAAAATAACTAATCTATATGAGAATCATGTTTCTTTGCAGGATTATTTCCATTACCATACATATTGTTTCTTTGTTAAAATTCAGTTTCTGAGCAAATATGGGAACAGAAGCCTGATTAATGGGACTGAATAAATACTTCTTGTAGGTTAAAATGATCACAATTATTAAACATGTATGATAAACTGCCGTTTGGGGTGAATACAGTGTACTTTGTCAAAGGATAGGAAAAAATAGTTACTAAATTAAATGAGGCTCACTTTTTTGCCTGCACTACATTATTGAAAATTCCTATAATTTACCTTCTTGTTATGGAAACCATCTATACATCCCAAATACAATTGTGACTATTCTTTTCCTCACATTTACATACCCTGTCTTCATGCTACTACCCAACTAAAAACAAACTACATATAATGAAAATAGTGATGTTTCTATTATTTCAAATTTGGCTCTCCATGTAGTCCTCTTCTGCACTAATCCACTTAAAATTGCTGAAGGACTTCTCGTCACAGTCCGCCTTCCTCTCTTGTCAATCCTTCTCTTTGCTTCCCTCCTTATGGCCCCTCAGCCAAACATTCACCCTTGCTCAGGGCCTGCTCTCTTCCAGGAGTAGAGGTCCTTGACATCAGGACTTCTCTACTGTGATATCAACTGTCGCCAACAGAGTGTGAATTAGATACTTCTATTCTCAGGAAAGTCATTTAAGTGGTGAGACCAAGCCAAGTGGTATTAGGGTCTACTATCAGATCTTATTTTTAAATTAATCTTTTTTGTCTAAGGTTTTAGCAATTAAAGACTAAATTAAAATTAAGCTGTAAGCTGTAAAAAGCTATTTCAAATGATTTAATCAAATTAATAGTCCTGATTGTTTCAACATAAAATATATACCTGTTGAATTACAGAAAAAGTTGCCTGTGGGAACTTCATTGTCATCTAGTCTTTTCTTACTTAAAATATTACTAAATGAAGGGAAATTGAAATTGCTCATTTTCAGCTTTTAGTCATTCTGTTCTTTAATTATTATTAGGCAGTCAACAGTCCAAAAGCTTATGTACCTTTTTCAGTTTGATGACTCCTTCTTGTGTATCTTCATCTGTGACAATGTCAAACAAATTTCCCCCATCTCCTGGGACAATGTTGTACTCAATTTCTGCATTTTTTCCAAAATCGGGATCCACAGCTCTTATTCTTCCAATAGCTGAGCCAATTGAAGAAGACTCAGGAACTTTCAGATGGAAGATGCCTGATAAAACGTATATAATTTGTATTAACAATGGAGTTAGTAAAGCATATAATAGGATTATTAGGCTTGAAAAATATATTCTATAGAAAGTAATTAAATTTAGGACATAATAGTATGAAATTGAAAGGCAATTTGCTGTCAAGTTAAGGATTATGATTATGAGTAATAACTTTGCTTTTCACTTTAATAGATCAAGAACTCTGAGAATTATCAACAGTAAAGGGTGTTAAATTAATATTACTATGAGGAAATATTTTAATATTGACAGCATCAAAGCGTACCTATTGTCAAAATAATAAAATTCATTTATACCAATAGAATAAAATCCAGGATACAATTTATAGATTTTAAAAAGACGGATGACAGATATAGAAAGTTAAGATTGTGTTTCCAAATACACACACACACACACACACACACACACACACATACCATATATAAATATACAGACATTTATTCTAGGTATATATTATTATGCCAAAAATAGCCTATAAAATGATAATATGTATGGTTAACTAAAATTTAATCCGTAATGAATTTAAGCATAGTCTATTATTGACTAATATTCAAATTATGTTTATTAAATTTTTACTGGATACCCCAGTAGTTACTTTCACACACATTTAAAGTCACGATTTAAAGTTCTAGCTCCATACCTTTTTGGTTTTTTTGAGTTTAAAAAAATAAAAAGTAAAATGCTGATCTTTTACCAACAGGTGGAGCACCTATATTTCTATGAATTAATACAGAGAAAAAAACTAGAAAAATTCCTGTATCTATACAATATACTAGAATTAGGACAAATTGTAATATATAGGACAAATTGAAAATATATGCCCTGTTTAAAAGTTTTAGAAATTTTTTAAGACATAACACAAAAAGAAATACATAATCTAGGCTATTTTACTGACCTATGATCAATGTAAATATTAATGAATTAAATAGCAATCTATTCAGTTGCAAACAGAAAAGTAAAAGAATGGGAGGAAATTTTTAAAATTCAAGAGCAAAACTAAACTCGAAGTTTGGATTTTGCTATTGGCTTTCCTGTTTTAATTTCTATTAATGAATTTTGGATTGTAGTTGGCTAAGGATAAATCAGCCAGAGTAACTGATTTGGTTTGACTCTGGTTACTTTTTTAGAAATTAAATTAAGAAAGTCTTTAATATGTTTTTTGAATGCTGAAGTTCATTCCACAAACTACATTACAATAGTTCTGTTATCGGCTTCAAGAAGTATGAGCAAAAGATAATCAATCACTCATACAACTTGTGAAGATTGTGCCAAATACTTTCTTTCTATTCCCAATTATTTTTAAAGGTCTTATAATTCTCTCACAATCACTTTCAAAATTTGGCAATTCATTAGCCCTTGAAACAGTTAAATCCTGCCATCCACACATCCCCTTCCTCCAGAAAAGGTAGCCACTATTTGCTCTTATAATGTTAAAAACAGCTTTATTTGTATCCAGTGTGTTAGGCAGAAAGATAGATATGAGCAAAATGAAAAGAGGGAGGGGCTCATCAAAAACTCAAGGAGTTAATCAAATAAAGCCAGACAGCCAGAAAGGACTCAGAGTTAACTCCCTTTTCCAATCTGAGTTCATTCCACATGCCCTGAATCGGAGCTGACCTTGAGATTTGCCCTAGCTGACGCAAGGTGAGATAGGGCAGAGAAATGAGACAAGTATTATGATTAATTTTCCTAAAAATGCTGAGATCTGAATAGCATAGTAGGAACAAGAAGGACTTATCTTGAGCTCAGAGCAGAGAGTTTGGGGGTTAGATTCCTAACATATTCTTTGGTAATCAGCCAACAACTTATCTTAAGGCAAGGCCAGCAGTCTTAACTGATATGTTGCCAGTGATTGAGGGTAACCACTATCTTGGAGAGGAACAAAAAATCTGTCCTACCGAATTACTTAGAGGGCTAGCTATATAGACAGTGACATATTGTCTCTCACCAAAGATAGACATCATAAGATGCCTGACAAGCCTACACCCCCCACCCCTTTACCTTTAACCCATTCTTAAAACTCTTTAAAAGACAGAATCCCAGCTTTTAGATGTGCCTCCTCTCTGAGGCTGCCCATACTCACCTTCCTTTGATTGTGTCACTCTCTCTGTCTTACTCCAAGTAAGTAAAGAGGAGCTACTGAGGGTGCTGTTTTAGGCTTGCAAGTTCCCATCATCACTTGGGTGACCAGGAAAGAACTGCTGCTATACGATCATGCTCCTTGTTAACCTGCCTGAAAATCTCTTTTCTTTGCCTTTAGTAAGTTCTCAGAACATAATCTCACTTCATCCAGTGCTCTGTGGCTCCCCCAAATCTTGGGGTAGTAGGGACTCAGTTTCCATGCCTTGCAGATTCAAGTGGACACTGGATGCCAGTTGACACTGGCTGTTGGAGTTAGCAAGGAATTATGCCCTTTGCCAAACTGCAGTTCAATGAGCTACCTTTCCCTCCCTCAGTTTTTCTTTCCTCCCTGCTTTATTCAAGTACACCTGCCTTTACCTTCACTCTAGCCTGCTCCTCCCTTGGAGTGTATTCAAATAAAACCTTTATTCTGCTTCACTACTGCATCTCCACCCTTCTGTTCTTTGTTGAGTCAGGGACAAGAACCAAAGAGAACAAACCCACCCCCAACCAATGGACATTACCTCATTGGAACATATAATATATTTAGTCTCAAGAAAGTTAATATTTACCTAAAACTTGTTTGGTTCCATGTAAAAGAAGGTACATTTTATAGTGGTCCAAAAATAACTAATTAAATAATTTCAATAATTAATAAGTTGATAATTGAATTAATCTAATAAATTGATAATTTAATTTTTAATTGAATTAATTAGTTTGATAATTATTTAATAGCATACCTGCCTTCAAATGGGGAGGTGCATTATCTTTCTAAAACAATAAAGTTAAATAAATAAATACACAAATTAGCAAACCTAGGCAAAAAAAAAATTCGAGTCATAATACTGGAGTGTTATATAGACAATGTAAAAAAATTTTTAATAAAGAAGTCATATTAACCAAACTAGCAACTTCTCATGGGCTTGAGTTACGTTTCACATTATCTTATTCCCTAAACACTATACACAATGGCTGTCATGCAGAGAAACACAATGTTTGCAGAACTAAAAACAGGGTTTGAACTTGAGGCAATCAGGGCAAAAAGAATAAAATCATAGGTTACATTGTATACCCATTACCTAAAGAAGAGGTAAAGAAGATATTCAAGTGGAATTTGTCCAAATTCAGATAGCCATAATTACACAAGCAAAAGCTAATGTGACTTCTGCAACCTAGTTTCTATAGAGCACAAGTGTTTCACAATAGCTATACTAAACCTGTTCCTATTGAAGCACTCTTAACATAATAGCAAATAGGAGGGTGCCTGAGTTCCTGGTAAATGTGGCAAGAAAGGATGGGACACAGTTGTTTAAAGCTGTACAAAATTTCTCAGGGACAAATTCCAAACCAAAACAATAGATGTAGTACATAAAAGTTATTTTTCATTTCCTTTTTTTCTTCCTTCTTAATGTTCATTAAATAGAACTCGTTTATCAGAAACATGTCCACATCCTTTGACTCTTGTGTGATTGTGATAAAGAACCTGAAGAAACACTAAAAGCCTTGACTCTACAGTAGAATTGGTCATAGTCCACTCTCACATCAATAAGCATTAAGGAAGGTCTTGAATTTTTAAAATGATCAATGAAGTTCTATGTTGAGTAATGTACTATAAATTCTTCTCTAACCAAATACTTCTTCAGGAAACTTATGACTAAAAATTATCAAAGACAGAGCTGGCACACAGAGATTGGAGAGACAGAGGGAGCTGTTAAGTATAAAGGATTTCAAAGTTCAAATGTGACCCGCCGTGACTAGTGGAAGGCAGTGGGGCAGAGGGGTGGGCATAAATCGGATGGGATGGTTAGGAAAATATGGACTTCTAATTTAGAGGGCTTGGAATATTTCAGCTTATTTTATCTGATCCTTTCAATGGGAGCAAGTGCAGGTTACATATCAGCTTTATGAGTTAGTTTTTCATTTGAACATTTAGAAGCAAAAGTAAGAGAATTAAAATCAAAGAAGATAATCTAGGCTGCCCTAAGGGATTATGGTTAGTGAAGTTGAAAACTTTAGCTAGAACTGAGACACTCCAATAAGAAAAGAAAATTTAAAACTCTGGGTAATCTGAAGGACATTAGATAATGCAAACTATAAATGAAAGTCCCCCTTTTCAAGACAATATGCTGAAATGCGAGTTTTATGTTATATAAAAAACATTTTAAGAGGCCAATAATAATAAATGTGAAGAAAGCTACTCCTTGTAGTACTATGTCAATATAAATTAAATAGCATTTTTTAAAAAGTTGCCAGCATAATGTATGCCCACAAATTTCATAAGTATCTAACGTATTGAAAAACTTGTGATAAACTGAAATAGTAGCATGTTACAAAAAAGCTAGACAATAGCATTCACTAACATACTCCACCAAAATTAAGATATAGTAAAGTAAAACAGTCATTCACTGCTTATATCTTTTTTTGCTCATTGAGGTTTTAGTGTACATAAAGCACAAAAATAGCACTGAATTTTCTGTTCTTTACATAGCAGCCATACATTTAAGTAAGTTGGAAGACACATTCATTAAGACAAGCATTTTTCAGTAAAATATTGTAGTTGGTAATAAAGTGTACAGAATATGGAACAAGTCAGAAAAACTATGCATTAGTCATGTCATATTGTTAGGTTCTGTCGGTTTATTTCCAATGACTTGACATTTTATCATTTCTAGAAACTCAACAGCAATAAAGCTGGGGTCATTCAGATTAATTTGAAACTGAAGTCATTTTCAGCTGTGCCAAAGTTGGACTGCTTATGATATACTATGTAATTACATAGCCATCATTTTCTAGGCATCTTACTTTTGATGCATATGAAACATCTTAATGGCACTACCTGTACAACACAGATTAAGAAATAAAA